TAGGTATCCATGAATGTATATGAGTGTTCGTGTACACACAGGTATGCACGCATGTATGTGTGTGGGATGGGTGTGTATGTATGTGTCCATGTGCATGCATATGTATATTGGGAGCTCCTGTCATGCTTGTAATGTGTGGTCAGGGTTAAGAACTGACCCCCCCAGCACCCAGCCCTACCAAAGGGCATGTAAGGCTTGTGTGTGTGTCAATTCTTTTCTCATTTATTTTTATTTTATGCGCATTAGGTTTTTTGTTGGATCCCCCAGAACTGAAGTTACAGGCAGTTGTGAGCTGCTATGTGGGTGCTGGGAATTGAACTCAGGTCCTCTAGAAGAGCAAGCCAGTGCTCTTAACCACTGAGCCATCTGTCCAGCTGCAGTATGTCAGTTCTTTATTTAGGTTGACACATAATTGGATGCATTGATCAGACATGATGCAGTATTTCAGTACATACAATGTAATGGCGACGGTAGGGAAATTGGCATGGCATCACTTTAAAGTAATATCATTGCTGTGTGGTGGTGTTATTTAAAGTCCTCTCTACTACTTTTTTTAAAATGTTGGCAGCCATTGTTCCCCTACTGCATGGCACAGAGCATTAGTCGTTTTCCTTTCTATGGCAAGTTAGCGGCGGGGTGGGGGTGGGGTGGCCCTGACTGTTTTGCCTGTGTGGGACCCTTTTCCTCCTTCTGGGTTGCCTCGTCCAGCCTTGATGTGACGGTATGTGCCTGGTCTCACTGTAGCTTGTTGTGATGTGCTTGGTTGATGTCCCTGGGAGGTCTGCTCTTTTCTGAGGGGAGGAAGATGGGGTGCTGGATCTGAGGGAGAGGGGAGGTGGGCAGGAGGGAAACAGGATGTAATGTATTTGAGAAGCATATAAGGCATTTCTTATTGGCACTTCCGCCCTCTACCCACCCTAACTCTTGGCAGTCCTGTCTTGGCCACACCACACTGTTCACAGTCCTGACCTTGTCCAGTCTCCTTGTCCGGCTTGCTCTTTCCTCCCCAAGCAATTTTCTTTGGAGCCTTCCTACTGTCCATATGCTCAGCCACAGCATCCTCTAGGGCCTTGCTGGAGCTCCCACACAGCACCCAGGAACATCTCTGCCGTTGCCCATCCATGGTTGTAGAACTGGCTCCTTCAACAGACAGCTTCCCGAGCGAGCACCCGGCAGCATCTGGCTATGAGCATACTCTACGTATTCTCTACCGTTGTAGTCAATACTTTCCCATCTTCACTTTAAAACAAAAATGTTAATTTTTACCTAGGAACCACCCCTCTCAAACTGGGAGCCAGCAGTGCAACTGTCTAGAACTAAGCAATGGTTAGCAGGTGTGTGTTGGCTAGGACGCTGGCACAGCCTCTTGCCAGTTTCTCCTTGGCTCTCGGGCTGCCTGGGAAGCAGCCCACAAGGCCCCCAATGGCTGCATTTTTAGAGAATGTGGGGCTGCTGAGGCTGTCCAACTGCAGCCCAGCCAGCCAGCCCATCCTGGGATCTGCCTTCCCCTCTTTCTTCCTCTCTCGCCTTCTTTCCCCTTCCTTTCTCTCTATTCTCTTTCTCCCCTTCTATTCCCTCTCCTGTTCTGTTCTCCCTTCCTTTCTTTTATTTACTCCTCATCACCACCCTTTCCTCTTTCTCTCCATCTCTTCCTCTCTTTCTATCCCAGCTTCATTTTTCTTTTCTCCCTGTCCCTCTTCTTCTTCTTCTTCTTCTTCTTCTTCTTCTTCTTCTTCTTCTTCTTCTTCTTCTCTCTCTCTCTCTCTCTCTCTCTCTCTCTCTCTCTCTCCTTT